ACAAAAGCTGGGAAAAATAAAAAAAATCAGGATAAAATCTATAGTTTAAATCTTTGTTAGGCCTAAAAAGGGAAATAATTTCAACAAAGTGCGCATAAAATTGATTTACACTGCCTCATTGTCCTCAAGAAAGTGTTTATGAAAAAAATTACCGTATTGTGTCTCAATACGACATTAAAGGCTTTTGAATTCGGATTTTTACCCTGGATAACCCATAATGCATCATGATTCAAGATGGCGTCGCTATTGGTGAATAAGTGAATTGGTTTCTACAGAGTACTCCGTTGCGAAATGGAAATAGCGAAGCCAATCAAATGCTTGTGTTTTGGATGACAAAATAGCGAAATGTGTTTGGCGATTTTTTTTTCTTCTGTGGAAATCACTACGAGAGAAAATTTTCGCACAAGTGTGTTTTCGCCACTGAGCTCTGTGGTTTTCGCGCGAAATTTTTCGCATTCGCTCGTCGCCTTAAGTGAGACCTCTGTGTGGTAACTGTATGGTTAGTACTGACGTTGTGTCCATTGTGGACTATGAGATCAGTGTTTGCCTTCGACTGGGTTTGTATAAGTTGTTTTGTCTTTTGACTTTTGTATCAAAATGAATGTGTATTTTATATTCCATGATTGACCAGTGATCACTGGTCAAGCTTTTGACGACGGGTTATGACTTTTGACTTCGACACTTCGTCCTGACCTCAAGCTGTTAGCTGACTTTAATCGGGCTTTAATATTTATAGCCATTGTCCCATGGTAAGTACTGTACATCAATGTGTTTTACTATTTATTTTATACATGTAACAAATTGAATTTTTTTACTTGTACAGAATGTCTGCTGTATTTCATTATAATTGCTCCAAAGATCGCTAGAAGTTCTCATGATCTTCGAGCTTTAATAGTGAATGTACTCATACTAATGCATGAGTCAATTCCTGGAGTAACCATCCCCCCCCCCCCGGGACACCCTCGGGAATTTGCCCGATAGACAGTTCACAGGGGTCGGGAATTTGCCTTTCATATATGTGCACAGGGGCCGGGTATTGGAGGACCCCAGGGATTTGACAAATGGTTGACCAAAGTCCTACCCACAAATTTTAAGGCAGCAAAACCTAGTTTCAGGCACGCATGTGTGCGCGCTGATCGTATTTTAGTCAAGTATTGTAATCTCATGGTATTTTGATCGTATTTTCGCTCGTGGTCAAGGTGGCGTGAAATTTATTGTAAGAATAAGCGAAAATTATACCCTGTGCCATGCAAATTTAAATACAACTATTAAAGGTTTATGTTTTATAATATTCCATAGCAGTTTAATACTATAATGTTATTAAATGACTATGATTATATGCCATTAAAAGTTTAATTAACGTTTACTGTAAAATCGTCCCCGGGGTGGGGCATTTTCCACTCTCAGCTTGCCCAGGGGCCGTGCATTAGTCTTCAAGTTGTGTCCCGGCACCTGGGCATTTACACTATCATAACCAATCAAATCAAATTCCCGGGTGTGTTCCCGGGGGGAGATGATTACTCCTGGAATTGACTCATGCATAAAGCTTTCTACTTCATTCAATCAAATTAAGGCACAAAGCATATAGATAGATAGATAGATAGATAGATAGATAGATAGATAGATAGATAGATAGATAGATAGATAGATAGATAGAAACGATGTCGCAAGAATACCTATCTTGTTTGTGACTTTTATGTTTAAAAGATTATTTACAATACTGTACAGTTGAAGGTGCTGAAGCCCGCTATCTAACATCGTTTATCTCTTGAAAAGTTGGAGAGTTAAACAAATCAATGTAAGGTTTATACAAAAATATTCAATTTGTGCCAGACAGAGTAAAGTACTAAAGTGGGAGGGGGGAGGTCTCGTCACGAAATTGCGAAGATCATTTTTCAATTTCACCCAGGGTGCATTCCATGTAAAGTCTATGCTGAAGATACGCCAATATTAACTATACTAGATAGTATTGTAATTTGCCAAACTCACGCCGAAAATCCTCGGCGTAGGCCACTTAAGATGCACCCTGGGATTTCACGAGTCACGAAAAACAAAATTTCATTTTCATGATTTTCAGAAACACAGAAGCGTATTAACAAAGTCTGAAACCATTTAACAATTTTCTAGACAGCAGAGCTCGATGTTAACACTAACACTTTTTACTGATTTTACTTTATTTTACGTTTACCGAGGAAATGAAGAAACCTCAAAAAAGATAACCACGGGAAGCAAATTTATTCATTTTTTTCATAATATTAAATTTGGGCCGAGTTTTAAACGTAAACATTCACAAGTTAGGGTAAACTGTTGGTAAATTCAAGACTCTAGCTGGCCTTTTAGCTCTTCATGATTCACGGAATGGTAATAATTTCTTTTAAAATCGCGATTCACGGAATGGTATTTCTTTAAATCACGAAGCACAAATAATTGCTAATTACGAGTCACGAAAATACCCTTGCCCCCCTCTAAAGTAGGGTGCATTTGGGTAACCCTTTAATTAATCCATTAAGTTGCATTACACCCCAAAGCTACATTTACACACAACAATTAATTGGGCCAATTTCAGGTTTTGCCAAATGTTGATGATGAATGTTGTCAGTTGAGACGTCAGATGACATTGACAGCATATTTTTCAAATATAATTTAATTAACCCATTGAGTGGCTGCAATCTCCCCCTGACGTAAAATAATATAGTAGGGTGCATTGCCACCTAAAGGCATAGAATCACTTGCATGGGCGGATTAGCTGGTTAACCCATTTAGTGGCAGCACTCTTCCCCTGACGAGTGAAATCGTCTGATGGTAGACAGAGTACAATAATAAAGTAGAGGCTGCATCATGGGCAGATTTACTGTGGGGGAGGGGGTTAGGTGAAGTGTTCAGCCCCACCAAAATTTTGCTTTACCCCTCCTATTCTGTGTGAAAGTCTTTAACCCTATATAACACCTAACCCCTGCCGAAGCTTGCTCGGTGGTGCCGCTCGCACCCTACTAGAAATGTTTCCACCCCTCCTTTTAGAAAATGAAAACTCACCCTTGCCAGGGTGCATCTGGGCGCATTGCCATGTAAAGGGTTAAAGCTGAATCGGCTTCTTTTGCACATATTGGCGGTTTTATCTAGAGCCAGAACAACTTCGGATAACCAGGACCGTTTATTTGTACTATACGATTTCGATCAGTTTATTATACACATATAGTCAAGCTAAAGAGAAAATAAATTGCATATAAGTACTAAGATTGTTTTATACAAGAAATTGAACTTGAAATACAAGTATAATATAAGTCACGTTCAAATATTACTTACTTTATAGTTACTCCTAGTTTCCTATGCCTACAATTTTTTGAAGTATGCAAAGGCCAGAAAAAGTATTACTTGATTGATCGCACCTTGCTAAGTGGCAATGTGGCCTGATGCACCCTACTATATTATTTTACTCTCTAACACCAGACGATTTTACTTGTCAAGGAGGAAAGTGCTACCCAAGCTGATATTGTTATTTTCCCATATAAGCTGATATTGATATTTTCCCAACTTGAACAACAAAAAAATTACAACTATTTTGCAGACATTCCAACTCTCCCGATTTTACCGGCCGGGAGTCTCCCGAAAATTCATACAATCTCCTGGTCTCCCGATTTTTGTCAAATTCTCCCGATTTTTCAGAATATTCGGGAAATATCGTAAAAAATCATAAACGTACTGTACTGTTTTTAGCAACACAGTAGTCTGTTTTGACCTTTTTATGAAGTTACTTTATGGCAATTTAATATAGGATCACTTATAACAACATCTTCCCAAAATGCAGGAAAACGCCATTTCAGATGACTTAAGTTTTAAAATTTTTTCACAGAACAGTCTCCCTAAATTTTACCTCGAGTAGTTGGAATGTCTGGGCTTGGTGCTGCCACTCAGGGTCAATGAGTTATTAATTAGACTGCCAATGCATCCTGGCACTCAATGGCTAAAATGACAAAAAATATCATTATCTTATATTATAGATTGAATATATCGCCAAAGAAAACTTGTTGGATAATGCTTCGGAAATATATGTTCCTCTACTCGTTGGCTGTCATATTCATGTGTATCCTTTTGCTGTGGAATTTCATGCTACTCAAAACAACGTGTCCCAAACCTGTGAAGATCAATGATATACAAATGCTACACAGCCTAAATAAAATAGTACTAAAAACTACTAAGCCTGCTCCAACTACGCATGCTCCAACTACGCATGCTCCAACTACGCATGCCCCAACTGCGCCTGTGCCGACTATGCCTGCCAAGCTACCTACTTTAACATTAGATGCACAAGACTCGTTTTACGGTTTTGGCTGCGAAGAGAATCGATATCGGAAAAGGTTGCAAATGATTCTGCGTGAATGGGTTTCGTTAGCAAAGCGCCAGAATATTTCTCAATATTTTATTTGCTTTGGGTCATATTTGGGGTTTGTCCGAAATGGTGACATGATTCCATACGACATGGACCTGGATGTTTGTATGTTCCGACATGATTATTACAAACTGGATCCTGAAGAGTCTAAACGGCCTCTCAATCTCGACGATGGTGAAATCCATCTGTTACTACACAGGCATTCGCCTCACCCACTGTCGAACACCCCTCGCAAAGATTGCAAGGGTAACATCGTCCGCAGCCCTGTGGATGATTGCGCAATACTTAACCCGCACGCAAGGCTCTACAATGGTGCTTTGATATACATGGATATTTTTATGTTCGAAGATCTCGGCGTCAAGCTCTGGGACGAATTCAGGGACAAAATGCACGACAGGGATGCCATATTGCCAGTCAAACCGTGCAAGTATTTGGAGCTCGATACAAAATGCCCGAACAATGCAGAGAAGTTCTTAAATGTGTATTATGGTAAGGATTACATGGCACCACATCACAAATGCAAGGGTGGAAAATGGCAACAAAATATGATTGACGCCCGGCCTGCATTTGTATAACATCTGCGAGCATGAATACTTGGATCTCGTGTAACTTTTTCAAAGTGGTGAACGGCTTGGTCGACGTATACCCATGACGTCCTCCCTGACGTTCTCCTTGAAGTCATGTCTCAAACCAGAACAACTCCTCCAGTGGCAAGCAAATCTCCTTCCTTCCGGCCAAATGCAAAACCACTACCTACCAACGCTTCTTCTTTATTCGTGCAACTAGAACCTGGAACTCTTCACCAACTACATTGATGTTGGGCAATTCAAGTTACTACCTGACAGCGCTGAGAGAGTGCTTCAACGAAGAAGATCCGAGGACATGGAAGACTATATGTCCGAAGTGTAAGTTACACTTAGGACATATAGTCTTCCATGTCCTCGGATCTTCTTCGTTGAAGCATTCTCTGTGTAACACTAATCGTTACTTACGTTCTAAACTAACTTGTTGTTTTTAGTATCCTGTCCATGTACTGTATGTTATAGGTTGTACTGTATGTATATTTTTGTATAAGGGCCAGTGGCGTATATATAGCCAGCCTGACTATTTGCTCTTGCTATGCAAATATTTCTGACAGTGTGTTCATATCCTGTAAAAACAATGTCAATGAATTTCTAAAGAAATGGATAATGCTCTGAAATTTACATAGCAGGAGTAAATTTTCAGGCTGGCAGCTGGCTACGCTACTGATATGAAGGACCCACAGTAATTGGTTTACACTATTGTGGTGTCCCTGCCATTCTTGTCCATGTTTATTGTCTACATGTCTATTTGTTGTTCTGTTACGTGTTTTTAGCAACGTTTAGTAAATAAATAAATAAATATCAATGTCAGCTAGGATGTCAGTGCTGAGCAGAGGACTCATCCTAGTCCCAAGCTGTATATCTACGAAATTGGTAATATTTTTGAAGTGCCCATACGTCTCTCTCCATTGCTCGTCATCCAGCGAACGTCGGAAACTTCACAACAAGAGTTTTGCCATGGTGGATACAAGAGCATGACAGATAATAATGAATTGACCGCCTCTCTTTCAAGTTCATTTCCAAAAGGATGTAAATCTTTATAGTTTAAAGGTCGACGTCGTGAAACATTAGTAATGTTTAGTACTGTTCAAAAAGCACAAAAGCGTACAACTGAGAGGAGGGACGCAAAACATTTTCTTGATCTCGCTGAGATAAGCAACACAATAATGTTACAAGTTTATGGTACCAGATATGCAGAAAATTTTAACCCATTATGGATTAATGTGACTTAAGTCACAGTGCACCCTACTGTATAATGTATGCACCCAACTTTATTATTTCACTCTGTTTACTAACGCCAGACGATTTTACACTTGAAAGGGAGAGCGTTGCCATTCAGTGACTGGGTTAAACAGACCATCTGATCATGCGTCTAACCATTAAGACGCATCCTGGACGCATTGAGCCCAATGCGCCACTTTATTATTTTATTGTCTAATGTCAGACGAACTTACTCGTCAAGATTTTTTCTAAGGGACTGGTCATAATTTATCGGGGGTCGGGAGGTGTAATTCAAAATTTTAAGGAATGATATTTTGTGACCCTGCTTTTCCATAACCCAGGAAAATAATGCCCGACCCTATTATTTTTTCAACGCGATTTGACCGTGCGACCCTATTTTCTCCGGGTGCTTGCGGGCTGCTGCCAAAATGGCGTCTATTGTCACACTAATTATTGAAAAAACCACGAAAAAAAATATTCAAAAAAAAATTTATTTCCGACCTACCGACCCTAATTTTTTTCGCGATATGAAACCGGAACCACAGGTATATTTTTAGGCCTAAACTTAGTACCATAAATTTTTGTTGCCACTTTTTTGTTTTTCCCACATTATGACGTCATGCTGTGTATCTATAACTGTCGAACAGACGACGGCCAAATCTTATCTATTTGTTAAGTATGTATGTATATGTAGTGCGACGCACTGCTCATTAAAATTCAGAGCGAATAAAGAATGTTTAATTGTTTCAAGTGTGAGGGCGAACGTTGTAAGAAAAAGATATGGAAGTATGTTAGAAAAAAGAACCTTATATAGTACATATTGCTCTGTTTAATCGTACGAAACGGCCAACTATTAAAGGGAATACAATTAAGCCTTTTATTATATTAGCTGTGTGACGCAAAGTCACGATAATGTTTTCAAAGTATGATTAATAATGGATTATTCCAGCTGTAGACTAAATTATGATCTAGGTAACAAGAACAAAATCCATCACCACATCACAAAGACTGAAAGAGCATGTTAAAATTAGTAAAATTGCAAAGTTTGGTTGCGAAATGTTGTATATTACTAAAATTTAGGCCTATACGAAACTGCAAATTTTGTATTAATTTGTATTATGCACGGGAAAAATTTTGTATTAATTTGTATTATGCACGGGAAAATGCATCACTTTTGGCCCGCGCGTAATACAAATTAATACAATATGTGCAAATTTCACAGGGCTATAATATTTCACTCATTTTACAACACGTGAGCACTTCGCAACCAAATTTTGCAATTTTACTAATTTTAACATGCTCTTTCTATCTGTGGCGATTCTTAGATCAAAATTTAGTCTATAGCTGGATAATCTATTATTCTACATTTGAAATTTTGAATGTATTTTCTATCACATAATGAGTATAATTAACAATTATTGGATGAGGTTTTTGTGATATGCGGAATTATCAAGGTCGAGGTAAGCGTTATCAGCCGAGCCGAAGGCGAGGCTGATAACGCTTACCGAGACCTTGATAATTTTGCATATCGCAAAAACCGAATGCAATAATTGTTTTATTATACATTTGAAGAATAATAAACATAGTATTTTAAATAATAAAACAATTATTGAATTCGGTTTTTGATGTCTGGCAAAGCTGTTCAAGTAAAACGTTTCTATAAACAAGTCTCCGGAAGTCCAACAGTTAAATTAATTACAAATATAAAAGAAACATATTATCGTTAAGATGTTAACGTATTAAAATATTTGCTTGTTAAAGTAAACATTACAATTATGAAATGTACATTCATTTGAAAATTGAAATGTACACTCATTTGAAATGTACACTCATTCAATTTCACGCAACCTAACACAAAATTCAGTTATCTGCTAGCAGATAACTGAGTTATCTGCTAGCAGATAACTGAATTTTGTGTAGGTTGCGTGATTGCGCGATTTAACTGTTAGCTCTTAGCCAATCAAATTGCTTTTACCAACTACAATGTATAATAATTCAAGTTTAATGATACTATTGATTACTATAACTTTCATAGAGTTTCGTATGGAGGCATTTTCATTGGAAATGTTGAAATTAGCAAACTTTCATTCAATGCAGAATCGAGGTATATGCTTTCAAATGGTGCGAAAACATCAGAAGCCCAAAGTAGTATAGCTAGATTATAGGTTTTGCATTAGTTTGTGTTGTGTATGTGTTTGTCAGAACGAATCGATAACATAAAAAATATCAAACGTATTAATACGAGAATTTGTAGTTCTAATGGACATTACCCAAGTAGGCCGTGGGCTGTTGTGCGAAAAAGTGCCCAGAAAAGCAATTTCGTGGCACCCTCCTGGGAAATAGATTTTCTTTGGTTCAATTCATAGAACCATAGATGCTTAATTACCACAAAAAATTCCCAAGCAAAAAACTTGCCCAACACCGAGAAAATGGGTGATCAGTGATTATCCTCTATTAAATTGTATTACAGCAAGAAAATGTAAAATTTTGTATTGAATTACAACAAAAATGACTTGCATTATCAGAAAGCTTACAAAAACATACATATAAGACATTTAAACAGTTTTTTTATATCTAAAATTGTTTTCGAGTTATACGCTGTCAAAAACGCGTTTTTGACCAAGGACCCAGTCCTTGTTGCGAGTTTTTGGTCCAATTTTCACATTTAAAACAGCAATAACTCAAAGACTATTTGAAGAATCAAAAAACTGTTTAAAAGTCTTATATGTGGTTTTTTGTACGCTTTCCGATGATGCAAGTAATTTTTATTGTAATTGAATACAGAATTTCCCATTTTTTTGCTGTAATACAATTTAATAGAGGATAATCATTGATCACCCATTTTCTCGGGATTGGGCAACTTTTTTGCTTGGGAACTTTTTTGGTAGTGATGTTACCTATATGCCGTTTAAGTAAACCCCAAACCAAGTATTTCCCACATGGGTGCCACGAAGCGAAATAATTTTGGCCAACAGCCCACGGCCTAAAGGACGTCAGGACGAACTGATTACAATTTGGTTAAATTTGGTTGAAACTGGACCAATCCCATAAGGATCAAAATTTTGATCTCAACAAGTCTAGACAAAATTCCATCACAGCATGAAAGAGCATCACAAAATTAGTAATATTGCAAAGTTTCGTTGCGAAATGTTGTAAAATGAGGATACTTTAATATTGCGTTGCGAAATTTGCAATTTTCAGCCATTTTGTATCACGAGCGGGAAACGGTTACCACTTTTCCAAAACTTTGATCTCAACTTGCCTAAACAAAAATGTCATCACAGCTCGAACTGAGCATCACAAAATTAGTAATATTCCAAGGTTTCGTTGCGAAATGTTGTAAAATGCGGATAATATAGCCTTGCGAAGTTTGTAATTTTCAGTTATTTTGTATTACGAGCGAGAAACGGTTACCACTTTTCCAAAGTTTTGATCTCAATTTGCCTAAACAAAAATGTCATCACAGCTTGAAAGAGCATCACAAAATTAGTAATATTCCAAGGTTTCGTTGCGAAATGTTGTAAAATGCGGATAATATAGCCTTGCGAAGTTTGTAATTTTAGTTATTTTGTATTACTAACGGGAAATGGTTACCAGCGCGTAATACAAAATGACTGAAATTTGAAAACTTCGAAAGGCTACATTATCCGCATTTTACAACATTTCGCAACGAAACTTTGGAATATTGCTAATTTTGTGATGCTCATTCAAGCTGTGATGAAAATTTTGTCTGACTTGCTGAGATCAAAATTTTGGTTAATGTTCGGATTGGTCCATTAGCCTGTTTTGTAATTTATGCATGACTCAAACTTAATTTGCTAGCGGAGGTGTGTAGTCTTTGAGTACCCTCTAATTTGTTTTGTGTTCTTGATTTAGCAAAAGTATGTTAAATGTTCTCATTTGCGTGGGTGCGGACGGAAATTATTTTCGCATTCTGTGTTAAAATTAAAAATCTGCCAATGAACTGTTAAAAGCCATAGAGATTTGGCATTAAACATCCATTCTAATATAAGAGCACTGTATTTATATGAAAGGAAGAGGAAGAGGAAGTCTAACCGATCCTCAAGTGAACTGGTATAGTACTGTGGTGTATTGTCGTACTGGTACAGAGTGGTACTATATTTATGCACTGGAGAAAGGAAGAGTTATATAACAACTATAATTAAGGTAAATATAAAGATTAAAGGGGAAATACGAAGTTTAATTAGATTTGAGATTGTTCGTTTAATTTTGGAAGCCGTTTAATTTTTAAAAAAAAAATATATATATATATATATATATATATATATATATATATATATATATATATATATATATATATATATATATATATATATATATATATATATATATATATAACTTTATTACATATGTTTGCCCCCAAAACCAATTAATGCAAGGCTTCTCAGCTACTTATGGAAATTGGTTTGAAGTTACTGTGTAGTATAGAGTTAGTTTAGTCTAGTTTAATGGGAATAACGAACATTACCCACGGGCAAATTGATTAAATTTTGGTGGTTAAATTTGGCTGGTTTCGTAATGGTCGTAAAAATAGAGTCACGATCTTTCTCAACGGCCAGTTTATAATAATTTATACCTGTAAACCACATATAAATCATAAGTATTCTCTAGTTATATAATCACTCCGCGTATTAACCGTATTCAGTTCAGTTCTAAAATGTTTCGGCTGAAGAGAAAGATCGTGACTCAATCTTTACGACCGTTACGACCATATAGAAACCTCGCTTTTATACATATGTGTTGCAGTCTCATGACAGTTAGATGACATTTCGAAGTTTATTTGAATTTTTATTTTTTAGGCAACCTCAGTTATCAAACTCTGTGAAAATGGATCCCACTAAAACGAAGTTTCCTCGACTTTCTTCGCCTACCGCTGAACTAAAACCTCATTATGACGTGGTGGTCGTGGGCTCAGGTTATGGTGGCTCCATCGCGGCATGTCGGAGTGCGGGCGCGGGAAGATCTGTATGCTTGTTGGAGAAAGGAAAGGAGTGGTTACCTGGCGAGTTCGCCGAGACATTCCTGCACGCGGAACGTGATATGCACGTGCATTTTGGTAGCCACAAGTTTCAAACGGGTATGTCCATGGGTTTTTGTGTCAATTGTACACGCGTAAAAACGCACAAGTTGTTGCAGGTCTGCAAACATGTTGTTACAAATCTGTTCACAAGCTGTCGACAAGTTGTGTTCGCACTGCTTGTTCCCAGTTGTTGCAACAAGTTTGGAACAAGCTGTTAACAACTTGTAACAAGCTTGATGGCATTAGTAGACTTGTTACAAGGTTGTTCTAACACGTCTGACACAGTCTTGATACAAGGTCGACGACACAAGGTCTTAACAATATTGTCATGATAATGACTGTATCGGACTTGTTGGAACAACCTTGTATCAAGTCTGATAATATCAACAAGGTTGTTACAAGTTGTTAACAGTTTGTTCCAAACTTGTTGACAACTTGGGCCCAGTATGCAGTGCGAAGACAACTTGTTGACGACTTGTTGGCAGACTTGCTACAAGATGTGAGATTTTGGCAGCAAGCCGTCAACAAGTTGTGTTCGCACTGCTTGGCCCAAGTTGTCAACAAGTTTGGAACAAGCTGTTATATTTAACAACGTTGTTCCTTGTTGATATTATCAGACTTGTTGCAGGGTTGTTCCAGCAAGTCCGATACAGTCATGATATAACAATATTGTTACAACTTTGTGTCGTCAACGTTGTAACAACATCATGACTGTATCAGACTTGTTAGAACAAGTGAACAACCTTGTAACAAGTCTGATAATGCCATCAAGCTTGTTACAAGTTGTGAACAGGTTGTTCCAAACTTGTTACAACAACTGGGACCAAGCAGTGCGAACAGAACTTGTCGGCAGCTTGTGAACAGATTTGTAACAACTTGTTTGCAGACCTGTAACAACTTGTGCGTTTTTACGCGTGTAGGTTTTGCACTGATTTCAGATTTGGACTTGGATGGACATGGATCATTGTACACACGTAAAAATCTCTCTGCTTGTCAACAAGATGTTCTGCTTTATTCCAGTGTTGACAAGTCTGGAACAAGTTGTTGATGAGGCCAACGGACTCGCAACAAGTTGTTCCAACAAGTCTGACATCGCATGCACGTAACAAGTTGTTAACAAGTTGATGACAACAAGCTCGTAGCAACCTGTTACGAACAGCCTGTATTAGTCTTGTTGGAACAACTTGTAGTAAGTTTGTTACCGCTATCAACCGTGTAACAAGATGATAACAACTTGTTCCAGACTTGTCACAACAACTGGGAATAAGACATGCAAACACATTCTGATATCAATCTTGTTACAACTTGTTTACAGATTGTAATAACTTGCGCGTTTTAACGTGTGTAACGATTTTCATTTCAGGCAAACCGTTCGGCTTATATGAAGTATACTTGGGTGAACATGTCAGCGTTTTACAAGGTTGCTGGCTCGGAGGCGGATCTCTTATCAATGCCAGTGTTGGTCTCGATGCTGAGCCTGCAGTGTACCAGAAACCAGATTGGCCAGCGGCTTTCACGAGTGACGTCGAAAACATGTTAAAAACGGACCGGAAACACGTGACTGACATGCTCACGCCAACGCCATACCCAGACTCGTACACGCATCCCCCATTGGCTAAAACTGAACGAATGCGAGAGGGGTTCGCTGCCTTCGACATCGAGGACCTGCATAAGCATTTTTATAAGGCGCCGTTATACGTGACTTTTGAGGATAAAGAACGGAATCATGTTGGAGTGCCACAGCCCAGGTGTACGGCGTGTGGAAATTGCTGTGGTGGCTGCAATGTCGGGGCGAAGAATACGTTGAATATGAATTATATTGCTCAAGCCAAAGCGTACGGAGCCGAGATTTATACCAAGGTACACTATCGTTTGTATTCTAAAAACTCACTCACACTCAAAGAGTGGAGTTTGAATCTGAGCTTTCCTTGTCGTATCAGACTTGTAAGAACAACCTTGTCACAAGTCTGATAATGCCATCAAACTTGTTACAAATTGTTAACAGCTTGTTCCAAACTTGTCACAAAAACTAGGAATAATATAAGCAGTGCGAACCAGGGCTCGAAATAGCAGGCTGCCAATGGCCAAACGCAGGCCACATTTTAGAAATGGCAGGTAAAAACAAACTTGAACTGCCAAAGTTAAAAAAAAATGGTAGGTGAAATTCTATAGATATATTTCATTTCATTTGCTTACCACAACTCGTATATACTAGATCATTTAGTTGACTAAATACGTGTATATATGAAATGTGAATCCAAGTGTACTGTAGTAAAATAGACAAGTTTAATTAAAAATACTAAAAATGCATGAAAACATTGATTTTTACAATATGACTCATATGAGACATCTCCATTTTGGCAGTCCAATGAATAAAAATGGCAGGCTAAAATTTATTTCACTTGCCAAAACATTTTAGACTGGCAGGCCATATTTTTTCTCTACTTCGAGCCCTGGTGCGAACACAACTTGTCGACAGCTTGTGAACAGATTTGTAACAATTTGTTTGCAGACCTGTAACAACTTAATTATGCGTTTTTATGTGTGTATAATATCAAATGAATAATTATTACAATATTTGCAAGAATGCGGTGTGACACAGCTCCTCGTGAAATTCCATAACTTAGCTCCGCTGTATTTTGACGGGGTTTTTCTTTTAGAAATTCTCTTTTCGGCATTTTGAAGTGACAGATCTATAGTTATTATTTATGAGACCATATGCTGTTTGCATATAGCTTCGCGAAATAAACATTTGTTTCAAATTGGGTGCGGTGTGTTTATTAAGGATTTTAAAAAGAAAGATAGATTTCTGCTGCCGACGTCTTACATTTATGAGGTTTCCAAGAGAGCTGATTAGATCGAAGACCTCAGCAGATCTGAATTCATAATTGATTTCATGTCCATTTATTCCAACAGATTGAAGTGATGTCGATTGCGCGGGAATCGAGTTCGAACGAATGGTCAGTTCATTACAAACGTCTTGTCAAAGGCATGTTCGAACTTGCAGAAGAAACAATTCACGCGAGTCATGTTATCTTGGGAGCTGGGGCACTAGGATCGACGAAGATCCTGCTTCGTTCAAAAGAACGAGGCTTGAATATTTCCCCTACGATTGGCACACGATTCTCAACGAACGGCGACATGCTCACGTTCAGCTACGACGGGGCGAAGGAGACGAATTCTATTGGTGTTCAAACGAAGGATTTGATTGATCCGCAAAAGAAGGTCGCCCCAGGCCCCTGCGTCACGTCCGTGATGGATTTGAGAAAACAAGGCGGGAAACTGGTGGACAATTTTGTTATTGAAGAGGGAACACCGCCATCATCTATGGGGCGAATTTATAGCATCGGGCTTACTGTTGCTGGAAAGGTGAGTTGTGTTAAAACAGACATTTCCCATTATAGACTAATTTTAAAACTAGGCAAGGAGATGCAAATAAATCACCACAGCTAGAAAGAGCATACCGCTAAAATTCGGCAAAATGCCAGTTTGTCAAAATGTCTTTCGGCAAAGTGTCGTTCTCGGCAAAGCGCATTTCCTTTTATGTTTAATGTAACTGTTGTACACGTTCTAAAATCTCAATTTCCTTTATTTGTCTTTCCAGAAAGATCTAGATATCGCCCACAAAGCCATGGACAAATCTCTAGCATTTCTCTGTGTGAGTCATGACGACGCCCGCGGTAAAATCACCTACCACACCAAGACTGATGACATCTATGTGAGTTATAAAGACGTAGGCTATGAACCAAACTTCAACGTCGTCAACGAAGCTGCCAGAAAAGTTACAGAAAATCTCGGAGGGACTTTTGTGAAGAACCCATTATGGAGCGAACATCTTGGCAAGAGTGTTTTTACAGTTCATCCACTGGGCGGGTGTCCGATGGCCGAATCTGGTCAAACCGGTGTGGTAAATCACGCTGGACAGGTTTTTGAAGGTAAGGATCGTTGTAGTTGTTACTGGTAGTCTGGTATGTTTCCAATTTGTAGCGATCCTTGTTGTTGCTGCCCATCGCAAATACTGTTGCTTGCTCTACCGGCATTTTAGTGTTGATGGTGGTGTAGCCTGCTCGCAGCCTGAGATTAAGAAGGGGGGAAATTTCCCCGTTCTAAATTTCAGGGTGCGAGCAGGCTAGTGGTGGTGATGGTCTTATTGCGTTTGTCGTTGTTGTTGTTGTTGTTGTTGTTGTTGTTGTTGTTGTTGTTGTTGTTGTTGTTGTTGTTGTTGTTGTTGTTGTTGTTGTTGTTGTTGTTGTTGTTGTTGTTGTTGTTATGTTGTTATGTTGTTATTTCTGTTGTTACTATTGCTAATGTTGTTGTTGCTGCTGTTGTTGTTGTTGTTGTTGTTGTTGTTGTTGCTGTTGTTGGTGTTATTGTTGCTACTGCTGTTGTTGTTGTCGATTTTGTTGTTGTCAATATCGTTGTTGTTGTTACTGTTGTTATTGTTGCTGTTGTCGATGTAATGTCGTTGTGTTCGTTGTTAACGTCGTTGTTGTTCTTGTTATCGTTGTTGCTGTTTTTACTGTTGTTGCTGTCGCTGTTGTTGTTGCTGCTGCTGTTGTTATTGTTGTTGTTATTGTTGTTGTTATTGTTGTTGATGGTCTTCTTTGTTGTCTAGGCCTTGTTGCTGTTGTACTTGTTTTGCTACGACTAAGAGAACAAGCAAGTAATAACGATGGTCTATTTCCTCTCTAGGTGACTCGAAAGACGTATTAGAAGGTCTTTATGTGGTAGATGGTGCTATTATCCCAACGTCTGTCGGCGTTAACCCCACCCTCACTATCTCATGTGTGGCTGAACGTTGCATGCGTCTTCTGGCTGAGAGAGAAGGATGGCATATCAACTATCAGTTTAAACATCTGAGTATGTATTTTGGAACTTTATATTATATTGTAGTGCCCGGAGGAAGGAAGTTGCGTTTGCACTGCTTAATTGTTTCCAGTTGTTGTGACAAGTCTGGAACAACCTTGCTACAAGGTTGATAGCGGCAACAGATCGACGTATTTGCTATACAAGTTGTTCCAACAAGACTATTACAGGCTGTTCGTAACAAGTTGCTACGATCGAGCTTGTTTTCATCAGCTTGTTAACAACTTGTTTCGTGCAGACGATATCAGACCTGTTGGAACAACTTGTTACGAGTCAGTTAGCCTCGTCAACCTTGTTACAAGGTGGTAACAACTCGGTCCAGGCTTGTCACCAGCTGGGAACGAGCAGTGTGAACACACCTTGTTGACGAGCTGTGAGCCTTTCACGCGCGTACAATGAGGCAGATGAGACACAATGGAAAGTTCTAGCTTTGAACTACACACGTAAAAATCTCACATTTCTGGAACAAGCTGTTAACAACTTGTAACAATCTTGTTGATACTATCAGACTTATTGCAAGTTTGTTCCAACAAATCCGATACAGTCATGATATAACAATATTGTCACAACCTTGTGTCGTCAACCTTGTAAAATTCTTGTTATATCATGACTGTCTCAGACTTGTTAGAACAACCTTGTAACAAGTCTGATGATGTCATCAAGCTTGTTACAAGTTGTTAACAGCTTGTTCCAAATATATTGCAACAACTGGGAACAAGCAGTGCGAGCACAACTTGTCAACAGCCTGTGAACAGATTTGTAACAAGTTTTTTGCACACCTGTAACAATTTGTGCGTTTTTACGTGTGTACACGCGTAAAAAACACACACACAAGTTATAGCAAACCAGCAGCAGCCTTGTAGCAACGCTGTTTCGACAATGTTCGCACTGCTTGTTCCCAGCTTGTTGACAAGTTGTCAACGGTTTGTTGACAACTTGCTACAAGGTAGTTGAGCTCAACGTACGTGTTACAAGCTGTTCCAACAACTTGTTATCGTCCTGCATATCAACAATTTGTCAACAAGTTATGGGTGACAACCTTGTAGCAATTTGATAAAGTGACAACTTTGTGGCATGGATTATATAATGTTATTTTACAATCCATGCTTGTAGCAACTTGATAAAATAACAACATTGTTACAACTTGTTAACGAGCTTGCTACAATCCTGTTTCGAGCACATCTTGTTGACAAGTGTGAGATTTGTGCGTGTGTAGGTCTAATACTCCCATTAATTTCAGGTGAAAATGCGTTCGTAAAACACAAGCCAGGAATTTGCTTCACGGAGAAAATGGTTGGCAAGTTCTGCAAGAGTGAAAGTCACGAAGAGGGGACATCGTGTGAATTCACCTTGACCATTGAGTCGAATGACGTCAAGGCTATGTTAGAATTTGATCCGGATCATGCTGCTCAGATCAGTGGCACGGTCACGTGTCCTGCTCTTTCATCTTTACCACTGACTGTCTTTGAAGGTTAGTGACAATTGATTTCTGGACAAAAAGGGCTTTCAGAATTTTTTTATATAATAAATATTTAATTGTGAAAAGGAAGTTTGCCCCAAGAGCTACTGGTTGCTCATCTAGGAGGCTCACTTCACATTTACAGTCAGTATACTACAGAAGAAAAACACACAAGGAAACTGGAAGCAGATTCAGATCTCCTGAGCATGGAAACGTTTATTTCTTTTATAAAATTTTTCGACGTGGTAAAAGATTTGAAAATTTCATCTTCACAAAGAAGTGAGAACCTAAACGAAAAAAGCTTTGTTATTTGTGAATCGGATAATGCAAGAATTCGTGCAGTAGAGGTGAGCAGCCTCAATCAATGAGCAACGAAAATCGGACAATGTAAAAAGTAACGATTACTAGTTTCAATTTGAAAGCCACAAGTACATTTTGGAGATTATTTACAAGCGTCCAAACGTATTTGAACGTAATAATTAAATGGGGTTGGACTCACGGTTGAAGATTATAAATGTCGAACAAAACCTTTATTATTCTGAGTGTATAGCGATCTGGAAGTTTTAAAGTCATCCAAATTAACTACTGTATATTGATTACATAGCAATACAACTGCTTCCGTACCAAATTTCATTCTTCAACAAGTAAAGATAAATTCAGAGATTTATGATGGTAAATAACTAAATCCGTATTACGAAATAGTACTTCGAATATAACCGGGAAAACTAAATACGTACGAAATAAGAAAATAAATACACTGTACGTACGAAACCGAAATAGTAGTTGTATAACGAAATAGCACGAATATAACTGTAAAGTAGACCAAGAAAATAATTTTGTTTGAAAACTCAGAGTGGAGGAACGGGAGCAGAAATGATATTTCAAGTACTGGTTAAACAAAGTAAGCCCTGGACAAAAATGAAAATTTCAGCTGATCTCATTGTTAGACAGGATTTCCAGTTGCAAATAAATTTGGTGTCGAAATTTTTTTCTCAATTTTCTTTAAATTCTGAGCGGTCAAGTAGTAGTTGGAACTGATTTATTCGGACATAGTCACAATTCGAATGAAATCAAGCGAAATATTTCTCGAAGATGAATTATTTCTCTGTAAATGGAAATCCTCTCTTAGACTTAATAGAGTGGAACCGAAGCTCATACTTAATGCATGAATGCGAGGCTGACTTTTGTGCAAATAAAGCTAAGATGGTATTTGTGTCTTCACTAGGTCGTTTCCAACTCTTCAGCTCAGCAAAGAACGACAAGGCGGACAGCCCTTCGAAACAAATGCTCTACAAAATGGTTTTGAACGGTGAAAATAACACTACCTACTCTTTCTACGGCGTCAAGAATATACACAAGAATCATTTCTGGGAAATTGGTCTTCGTGACACGACCGTCGTCTTCGTCAAAATATACAAAGGGGCTAACTTCTCTGGCGATATTCTTGGCACAGCTAAACTATATATAACCATTCCCAACTTTGCAAAGCAGCTGGCGACTTTGGAGATCACACGCGTGCAAAGTATTCGTGAGAAAACCTATTGGTTGGCAAGGTATGGACAGTTTTTTTCCAAAACGTTATGGGATGTTTATGGTCCGGGCGTTCGGGCTCACAATGTGAATTTTGACGATACAGTGCTGAGACAAAGAAGGGCTTTGATGTTGAGAGGGTGTACCCCTGCTGTTTATGATTGTGTGACAAAAGACGAGGTATGTTGCACTTCCAAGGGTGGGAGGGGGCAGGCGAGGGGACCCCCCCCCCCCCAATGGTTTTTAGAGTGTAATTTTGGATTCGTTCAAATCGGATAAAAAATTGGGGAATGGTGGAAAATTGTCAGCAGACATTCCTGCGTATCTTCGCAGGAAAAATTTCATTAACAGTCAGTCTGAAGTCAATGTTTGACGCTATTTTAAAAGGTGATTCATTCTTAAACTCCTTTACATTTTTCTCCTGTAATGCAGGAAATGTCGTTTCAGAGACCATAATTTTTTCAATTTTTTCCGGGGGATCATGCCCACCGAAAATCCCTGGCATAACAAATTATGATTCCGGTTATAGGTGAAATTTTGATCCAGACACGAAAAACGCAATCCATTACCATAGCTGGAAAGAGCATCTTAAAATGAGCAAAATTGCAAAGTTTGGTTGCGAATTGTTGTAAAATGAGGAAAATATAGCCCTGTGAAGTTCGCGGATTTTGTATATATTTGTATTACACTCGGGAAAAATAACCATTTTTGAGCCGAAAGTGGTTATTTTTACCGCGCGTTATACAAATATATACAAGATTTACGAATTTCACAGGGTTATATTATCTTCATTTTACAACATTTGGCAACCAATCTTTGCAGTTTTGCAGTACTATCCAGAAATAACCTAACAAACAACCGCGGTTAACCTCGGTCAAACATAGTCCAACCTCGGTCAAACCTAGGTCCAACCTAGGTCCAACCTCGATCAAACCTAGGTTAGACCTCGGTCAAACTTAGTTAAGATCTCGTCAAACCTAGGTTAGACCTCGGTTTGACCTCTGTTTAACCTAGGTTAACCGCGGTTTGAGTGAGGTCTGACCGAGGTTTTTAACCTAAGTTGAGTAAGGTTTGAACGCATTCTAAGACGCTCGTTCCAGCTGTGGTGTTGGATTTCGTTCTTCTTGCCTTGATCAAAATTTAGTCTATAGCTGGAATTACGATGCTATTCGTATTATTTGCTATTAAATTCTACTACAACAAAAAATGTGAAATTTTGAATTCAATCGCGACAAATATAACTTGCATCATCAGAAAGCTTGTAAAAAGCTACATAAAAGACTTTTAAACAGTTTTTTGATTTTTCAAATGGTTATTGCTGTAAATTAGGCACATTATCTCGCTAAAAGTTCCTAATTAATTATTCGATGTTTGAAAATGCGTTTTTAACAGTTTATAATTCGAAAACTATTTCAGAAATCAAAAAACTGTCTATATGTCTTATATGCAGTTTTTTATAAGCCTTCGGATGATGCAAGTCATATTTGTTGTAATTGAATACAAAATTTCACATGTTTTGGCTATAATAGAATTCAATAGAAGAAAATCACTAATCACCAGTTTTCAGGAGTTAGCAGCAAAATAGCGATGGCCCCACTTCAAATATCTATTAAGCAAATAAAACTACATCAATTGTAAAAGTTTGATGCTGTTAACCTCAACGGGAACTACTGATCAATAATTTTACACATATCCGCCTCACTATTATTAATGTCTTTCTATGAACTATGGTTTAAACGATATTTCTTTCAGAAAACCGTTCAAGTTGTGGCCCATTGCGCAGGCTCTCTTGTTCTCTTTGCCTCCCTCTTGTCTGGTGCTCTCGAGGGCAAAGTTAGAAATGTCGTTGCAAGTCAGGTGGCGGCCCATCCTATTCCTGCACCATTTAATTCCTACAAGTCAAGTCTACGGCTGCCTGGAGTTGCCCAGGCCATGGGAGTTCATGGTTTGGCCGTCGATACTGATGCGTCGTTCTTTAGTCGAGTATTTAGTGTTTTCTCTCGAAAAGTTGGCAACCATCTTGTTCTTCCGTACGGCGAACGTTGCGAAAGCCCTCTTTGCCACAGGTGGGTACCGTATTCAGAGTGCGATAATTCGCGTACTTATAGGTAGTCAAAAGACTAGTTTCCACTCAGGAAAATTATCCGTGGATTGGAACGGACCGAAGAAACTTTTTCTTTGTGTTAAAGTCATTAGTTCCAAACCAGAGCTCACAAGACAAGGAAAAGCTTTCTTGTCCGTTCCAATCCACGGATAATTTTCCTGAGTGGAAACTAGCCTAAAGGCAACGTGGTACAAACCTGTACTTTATGAATCTTATTTTAAAGGCTAAGTAAGTATGCGGCAACAACCATTGACGTACTAGTCAGGAACGACTAAAAATCTCGATTTATCGTATCCTACGAATTTATCGCTTTCATATCATCTCTTGAAATATTTTCACTGAAAGCAATGCCAATTAATGAGCTGCCCGCCATCTTGGATAATTATTCTAACCATGCATAACCTCATTTTATTATATACACAAGGTCTGGATATGAGGTATTTTGCAATCTGATTGGTTCTCTACTAGCAGGATATTAGATCATATCCTGCTAGTAGAGAAAAACAAAATGGCGGCCAAACTGAATTTACGATGTTTTCCAAACGAGAAAACGGCAAGTTGTCGCTTTTTATAGCCTTCACGGGATTAAAAACACAATGAAAAAACTCTCACAAATTGTTTTCAGGTTAGCAAATAAATTTTTAATATTTAAAATGGTTAAAAATATATATTTTTGAAAAAATAATCGGCCGAAAGAGCGAAGATAAAAACATAAACAAAATGGAAAAAAATATTGAAAATATTCGAAAAGCAAAGTCTGTGAATTCAGACCATGTGTATATAATAAAACAGTTATTCCACTCACTCTCGTCGAATATGAGCGATAGCCGATTCGGCGCTAGGCGCCTCATCAGCTATCAGCTCATATTCGACTCGAGTTCGTAGAATAACTGTTAAATAGCCTAACTATTGTTTGTGCTGACATCAAGAATGCGGTTAGCCTTATAAATTAGGCTACTTACTGAGTAACAATCAAATGTTGTTTAATTTTTTTTTTTAATTCGAAATTTGAAATAGCAACCAAAAACGAGTTTATATATTAGGGTTCATATCTAATCACTGTTTGACAAAAATCTTCTTGTATCTTTAGCCGCCTGAGTGGACAATTCCCAATATAAACTAATTTTAAAACTAGGTAAGGAGATGCAAACAAATCACCACAGCTAGAAAGAGCATACTAAAATGAGTAAAATTGCACTGTTTGGCAGCGAAATGTTGTAAAATGTGGAAAATATAGCCTTGCAAAGTTCGCAAATTTTGTACACGTTTGCATTGCTGCGCAAATTTCCACCATTTTCGGCCCTAATTTTTTGCCAAGATAAAAAAAATCTATATTGGGAATTGTCAATTAAAGTGCACCTAACCTCAATTCTTTTTATCATTTCATTCCTAAGAACTTCTGAAATGATATAATAACTTATTTTGAAGATTTTCGTTTGCTCACTTTGTTTCCGAGATATTTCAGTTTGTTTGGTATGCAAATATCCTGAATTTACGTCACAAATGCATAATGACTTAAAGCAAAAGCTTGTATATCGTATTCACTATCGAGTTTAAATCATTAAAATGCAGTTTGGAGTTGTGGTAGTATTACACATACCTATGTAAAACACCATTTAGCCTTTCTATTTAATGATATTTGACTGTACCTTACATTCTTTGATCATGCAGTCATTATTCACATGTGACGTATATTCCGGACATTTGGATATCAATAAAACTGAAATAACTCAGAGACAAAGTGTGCAAACGAAAATCTTCAAAATAAGTTCTGATATCATTTCAGAAGTTCTTAAGAATGAAATGATAAAAAGAATTTAGGTTAGGTGCACTTTAATTAAACGTCATCATTTCGAATCATTTCGCTTATTTTTCCAGGATCACGTTCATCTACGGCTTATTATGGAAGCACAAAAATCTCACTGAGTTGACACACAGCACATTGCACGAATTGTTTGGATACATAACAACATTGGTTAACGCTCAGCTTGCGCTGACGATGAGATGGCAAAAATTGGTGTCCGCTTCGGGCGAGGATATTTATTTGCCTATGAGTGAGAATGGATTGAAATCACCGGTTTATAAAGAGCACATCGATCGCCTTAACTTGCCAATACGCTTCATTGTGGGTAAGTTGGAGTATACTATAGGTTTGTCGGTTCATCCTCAAGTGCATGTAATTGTTTAAAGGGAAGCAATATATTTTTTTATTTTCTCATTTGAAAGAAATTTTAAGTACTATATATAATACTCTTTTGCCGTTTTTTCATATCTTGCTTGTTTCTACAAACATTTTAATTGAAAGAAATAAAATGTTCGCCATCTTCCATTTTTTAGATATGCATGTGACGTCACAACAGGGGCCACGCAATATTATTTTTTATCTAGACAAGCACTAATCGTTTTGTACCCAAAGCTATACTCTGTCTGCCCTTCGAAATGTCAAGATCACTCAAAACTTTTAAAACATCTATACCAATCAATATTGGTCAGCGACGAATTTTTTTTGTATGGTTAATCCCTGTTATGACGTCACCAATTCCCAAAACTACCGTTAATGAGATCAAAATTTTTCCAAGATGGCGGACATCTCATTACTTCAAGTGAAAATATTTCAAGAACTAAGTAAGATATAGCCCGCGTGCAGGCCCAAGGGAACTGATAGTGGGCCTGCAAGCAAGGCCCGGTATTTTGTACTTTCCGCGTGCGCCCACGAACGCGGCATTCTGATTGGCTGTTTGCTGTTGGATTCTAGAATTAGGTCAGTGATTCATCACAAAGGCTCTCGATAAGCTCAAAATTCGAAAATTGATCACTTTTTTCGATTATAAATGAAACAAGAACAGACTGTTTATTGTTTACTTGAAGGAAGAGATGTTTTTTCCGTTATGCCAAATTGCCAATTGGGATTGCTTGTCGTGAGGTGTTGGAATAGCAACATTACGACTGGGGTAAACTATAGTAACCTTGACTTGAGTTTCATTAATTTCAAACAGACTTGATACGTTATATGGTCCTCAAGAAAATTATCTTTTGGTTGATGTTGAGATCATGCAGTTGCATGTAAGCCTATTCGAAACACTTTGCGATTTACAAGGTTTCGCTGAGAGAGCGAAACAGAAGACGGTACTAAATTGCCGTTTGAAACGAAACGATCCGGACGCTCTGAACGCTCTCTTCTTTTGTAGAGTTCTTTACCAAATGAAATAACTGAAATAAATTTCGTATTTTCCGCCGCCAACAAGAATTGCACACACGATCTGATAAGTGAGACAATTTATTTATAACAATGCCAATGGCGACAGCGAAGCACACATAATATAAATCCTAATGTGGTTGCACGACTTCCCTCACGATTTGAAGTTTGAGACTGGTTTTCTGTTAAAATTCGTCCTAATTTGCCTGTTCCGATTTTAGTTGAAAATGAGCACTTGCAAATTTGGCAATTACTGACTGCGTTGCTTGCTTTTTTTGGAGTTAAAACGCTGCCATTTACACATTGTTTATGTTCTGAATAAGCAGAGAAAACCCCGCAACATTTTAATGCGAGTTTGTTTGTTAATATTTGGGTGCTGTCATTGGTTCTTTTTTGACAATTGACGCGCAAATGGGGCGTGTTATGAAAAGGGGCGTTTTACAAAATACCGGGCCTTGCTTGCAGGCCCACTATCAGTTCCCTTGGGCTTGCACGCGGGCTAAGTAAGATATGAAAAATCGGTAAAAGAAGTTAATATGTAGTTTCAAAAGTTCTTTCAAATGAGAAAAATCGAAATATCCAGTCGTGATGTTACACAATGGTTAAATGAAAACATACTGAGCTATTGTGCTTGTGTGATGTTACTCTGAGTGTATATTCACACCGGGCAGGCTTGAAAAATATGCCTGGCCACGGTGGGAATCGAACCTACGACCTTCGGGATACTAGCCCAATGCTCTGCCAACTGAGCTACGTGGTCAGGTCGGTTCGAGTATGCGATATTTCGGAACTGAGTCTAGTTCCTTCGATATCAGTGTAATCTAATAATCATGATATTTGCTGTCTTGGTGTAATGTACTCAACTTACTCAGGTGAATAAAATGATTGCGTGACTTGTTACTCTGAGTAGATCCACACCGGGCAGGCTTGAAAAATATGCCTGGCCACGGTGGGAATCGAACCTACGACCTTTGGACTAGTATTCCAAAGTCCGTAGGAATCGAACTTACGACCTTTTGGGCTAGTATTCCAAAGATCGTAGATTCGATTCAGTACCGTGGCCAGGCATGTTTTTCAAGCCTGCCCGGTGTGGATATACACTCAGAGTAACATCACACAAGCATCTTATTCACCTGAGTGCATTACACCAACACAGCAAATATCATGAAAAAAGCTAATAGAATTGGTCGTAAGAAATTTTTGATAATTCACGACGATATATACTTGCCATTGGCAAGTATATATACAAAGCTCACTGTGTATAATCCATTGGTTTTAGGTGAAAACAACAGTTGCTATTTGCCAGAAAGTACGCTGACCACCCTAAACCTTGTCAAAGGAGCTCACCCCAATCAGAATTATTCCAGAATTGTAATTTCTGATCACGGCCATCTTGATTGCATCTGTGGAAAAGAAGCATCGCTTCACGTATTTCCATATATTCTGGAAACATTGGATCGGTATGCTGGGTCATAGCGCATTTGATCAAAATCTTTTAAAACATGTTTTATCGATCGAAAGTAATTCTTTTGATGAGAGGATTTCCAGAAAGTTTGGACTAGTTTCGGTTTTTGAATCTCTTTGAATTTTTGAAAAAATTCATGTGGTCCCCCCTTTGCTAAGCTTAGGGTACACTGTAGTCCTTCCGAATAAGGAGTCCATAATATTAACACAAAATTTATTAAAACTGTATATTTCGAATCTAAATCAGATTCATCTTCAGCAGTGTTTTGCAAGATATGTCGTAATATAACGACATATATCTTACAAAACACTGCTGAAGATAAATCTGATTTAGATTCGAAATATACAGTTTTAATAAATTGTGTGTCAATATTATGCACTCCATATTCGGAATAACTCTTGTTTTATTTTTGCTGAAATTAACAGCCGGAAAAGGACACTATAGTCCCCCCTTTGCATTCGACCAAAATGTCTTAAAACATGTTTTTATCGATCGATATAGCCTGCGAACAGGCTCTTTGAGTTGAATTAGAGCCTGCCGGTTTAGTCAATAAAAATACGTCTGTGCCCATCACTATTTATAGTGTTGTCAATCAAATGTAAAATACAATTAACAAATTAACACAGACACGCCTTATCAGAAACGCCTTATGTAATAACCTGCGAATATATTTTTTATTTAAATGATTTCGCCCAGTAGTATTTACAAGAATAGTAATTATGTAAAATAAGTAATGTAAGGCCTAGAGGTCTACTAGAAACCTGGACAGACTTTTGAATTAAAACCCCTAGTTGATAAAGAATTGATTAACTAAATTATTTACAGTCAAATGTTTAGAAGAAGAAAAATAATAAACGACAAAAGTGCAAAATAACTAATACCTATAATTTCAAAAAATATACTTAAAAATGTTTTTATATAGGATAATATATGTAAACAAAACGCAATTCTCGATTTCAACCCATGATTCTTTACAACAACTCTGTAATGTCCGGTTGGAAAGAAACTACAAAAACATTTACGCGCAAAAAATATCGGGATTGTTTGTACAAGAGGTCCGGAATGGTCTGAAAGATTATACGGGACCATCCACCAAAATAAAATGTGCATTTTGAATTTGCATTTTCCTTTCCCCAGTCCACGTCTCAACGACGTGAGACTCGTCTATAACAAATGCAACCAAACGATTACGCAAATGACAACTTGAATATTTTAAAGCGTCAACTGAACACTTCTCAAGAACGTTTTCGGCCGATCCAAATATCAAATGAAATTTCCCCGATTTTATGTCCTCTATGTTCGGTTCGTCACTAACGCCGCAAACCGAGCTCAACCAAGGTCCTTAGCTTCTTCCATTTGACCTCAGCGTCAGGAACCTTGTCCTCAGCGTCAGGAACCTTGTCCTCAGCGTCAGAACCTTGTCCTCAGCGTGAGGAACCTTGTCCTCAGCGTCAGGAACCTAGTCCTCACCGTCAGGAACCTTGTCCTCACCGTCAGGAACCTTGTCCTCACCGCCAGGAACCTTGCCCTCAGCGTCTGGAACCTAGTTCTCACCGTCTGGAACGTTAACCTTGTCCTCAGCGTCAGGAACCTTGTCCTCAGCGTCAGGAACCTTGTCTTCAGCGTCAGGAACCTTGTCCTCAGGATCAGAAACCTTGTCCTCAGCGTCTGGAACCTTGTCCTCAGCGTCAGGACCCTTGTCCTCACCGTCAGGAACCCTGTCCTCAGCGTCTGGAACCTTGTTCACAGCGTCTGGAACCTTGACCTCAGCGTCAGGAACCTTGTCCTCACCATCAGGAACCTTGTCCTCACCGTCAGGAACCTTGCCTCACCGTCAGGAACCTTGTCCTTACCGTCAGGAACCTTGTACTCACCGTCAGGAACCTTGTACTCACCGTCAGGAACCTTGTCCTCAGCATCAGGAACCTTGTCCTCAGCGTCAGGAACCTTGTCCTCAGCATCGGGAACCTTGTCCTCAGCGTCGGGAACCTTGTCCTCACCGTCGGGAACCTTGTCCACAGCGTCAGGAACCTTGTCCTCAGCATCAGGAACATTGTCCTCAGCGTTAGGAACCTTGTCCTCACCGTCAGGAACCTTGTTCTCAGCGTCAGGAACCTTGTTCTCACCGTCAGGAACCTTGTCCTCACCGTCAGGAACCTTGTCCTCACCGTCAGGAACCTTGTCCTCAGCGTCAGGAACCTTGACCTCGCCGTCAGGAACCGTGTCCTCACCGTCAGGAACCTTGTCCTCAGTATCAGGAATCTTGTCCTCACTGTCAAGAACCTTGTCCTCACCGTCAGGTACCTTGTTCTCACCGTCAGGAACCTTGTCCTCACCGTCAGGAACCTTGTCCTCACCGTCAGGAACCTTGTTCTTACCGTCAGGAACCTTGTCCTCACCGTCAGAAACCTTGTCCTCAGCGTCAGGAGCCTTGTCCTCAGTGTCACGAACCTTGTCCACACCGTCCGGAACCTTGTCCTCACCGTCAGAAACCTTGTACTCAGCGTCAGGAAGTTTGTCCTCAGCGTCAGGAACCTTGTCCTCACCGTCAGAAACCTTGTCCTCAGCGTCAGGAACCTTGTCCTCAGCGTCAGGAACCTTGTCCTCACGGTTAGGAACCTTGTTCTCACCGACAGTAACCTTGTCCTCAGCGTCAGGAACCTTATCCTCACCGTCAGGAACCGTGTCCTCACCGTCAGGAACCTTGTCCTCAGTATCAGAAAGCTTGTCCTCACTGTCAAGAACCTTGTCCTCACCGTCAGGAACCTTGTCCTCACCGTCAGGAACCTTGTCCTCACCGTCAGGAACCGTGTCCTCACCGTCAGGAACCTTGTACTCAGTATCAAGAACCTTGTCCTCAACGTCAGGAACGTTGTTCTCACCGTCAGGAACCTTGTCCTCACCGTCAGGAACCTTGTCTTCAGTGTCAGAAACCTTGTCCTCACCGTCAGGAACCTCGTCCTCACTGCCAGGAACCTTGTCCTCAGCGTCAGGAACCTTGTCCTCACCGTCAGGGAACCGTGTCCTCACCGTCAAGAAACTTGTCCTCAGTATCAAGAACCTTGTCCTCACCGTCAGGAACCTTGCCCTCACCGTCAAGAGCCATGTTCTCACAGTCAGGAACCTTGTCCTCACCGT